CACACAACTGGTTCGCCATGTCACCAAGGTCACGATCGTTGTCCGTAGTTGGTTCATACCATATCAAAATGTTCGTCAAGGAAACCTTACCTGAAATTATAATAAAAAATAGGGGACAGAATCACAAGAGAATCCAACTCCAAACTAGAATTCCCTGTTCAAGACATTCATTCGGCTAAACAATGAATTCTCAAAATAAGAGGCATGGAAATTAAATTGTAACTGGTTCTAAAGTTAAATCTATCGACCATTCTGAAGTTAATATTTCAAGAAGTATTCGATTTTGAGTCGACATCATGAACAAAAAGACGAAATGATAAAGAACCCATTAGTGAAGCCTAAAAATTAGATCTGACGTTATGGTTCTGCTACTAATAATTGGAGTTTAAAAACCATACTGAGTAGAAAAATAATTCGTCAAGAGCAATATATGCTCAGGCAAAGACAAAACCACCAAAAGTACAATTCCACTTTCTCTTTTCAAAGATTTAACTATCCACGGTCCATTTTCAACAATAGTCCAGCTCTGATTTTTTTTACATAAACGAATAGAACCAATTCACGCCTCATCTGGTTTAAAGCGGTCCATAGGCATCACGACGTGAATACCCCGACAGGATGTACATGCAGGATGATGTTACAAACTTATCACACATGGGGAATTAGAATACGCTGGACAACTCGAAGGCACGCAATTTGAGGGTTTCATTTTATCATTTAGTTTCTTGCAAAATTAGCAAAGAATGTAAAACATGCGGTCACTACACGTCTTACCTATTAGGCTATTAATGCAACCCTCGGAGAAAACCCCGTGGAGTTGTGTACAAGAAACACGAGAGGCTTGTTATACCTAATTATTATAATATGAACTTAATGACTTACCGTGATACTTCGGTCTGAACTCCTCATCATAAATCCTCCAAGCTGTGGCATGAGCTAACAAAACATTCTTGGCACACAAATAATTTCCTAATTCAATGGATTCGATTCCAGGGGCCATTTTACTATCGCTGTACGACATCTCACAAATTAGTAGGGGCTCATTAATAGTTATCCAGGTCTTCACTCGGTCTCCATAAAGAGAAAATACCACCCTTGCGTAGTTGGCGAACCAATCGATTATTAAAGGGTTTGCCCAGCCGCCTGTCCGAAATAAAAGTTAATATTTAGTGTACACATTTTCGACTTTGTTCCGAAGAGTTCATGCGAATCGACCTGCACGTTCTTCGTCTAAAAATTAACATAACGGAACGCATTACTGGTGGTACTTATCAGTGCAGACTAGTAAGACATCCCACCACCAGTAAACTAATTATTTTTTGGGAGAAAAAACTGTTGGAAAGTCTTCCACAGAACGGTTGTAACACGGTAAGGAGGCAGTCCAATTGTTGTTTGGAATTCGGTTATATAAAACTTATTTTGTAACTGTCATGCGATTCAGGTTTTTTGTCAAACATCTTCAATTTCGTGATAGCCACCACAACTTAACCAGCAAACAGCGTCAAATTCATCAAATATTACTAAAGTTCTTAAAACGCTATTATTATTACTCAGTACCATTACCACTCGCTATCTTCAGCCCTGTTTTGACTACAGTCACACACAGAAACCTTGCTCAGCTAAATCACCTCAGTTGTTTTTTGGTATTTCGTGGGTAAATCCCTTTTCTCCACAGATAAGGCAACTAGGTCATACCTCATCGTATATTACAGACACTCCACGTGTGGCAGAATTAATATGAAATGATTTTAATATGACAGATAGCACTAACCCAGATCCTGCAATCTTTGAGGCAAATCCAAATGAAACAGAGTCACCATTGGCTCTATACCCTCTTCCAGGAGAGCATCGATCAACTGATTGTAATAATTACGCCCGTCGTCGCTGATTTTGTTTGAAAAAGCAGTCGGTAGTAGACGAGGCCACGAGATCGAAAATCTGCGACAAGCGTAATTATGCATACCGATTTTATTTGGTAGCATTAGATTGCACAATGTAGCGCTTTCGTATTTCAGTTTCAAATTACTCGTGGACAGGTTTTAAGCTACTAAGTCTGCAAAGCCAGGTGGTGGCACATCGTAAGCGTCGAATGAAATTCTTTTTTAATACGCTTTTGTTAGCTTCAGACGTATGTATGTTTGTAACGGAATCTTTGAACATGATTTTGACCCCCTTCAAAACGTCGGATTAACTCGAAATATACGTCGGTATATTTATTAAGGACCGATGACAATTCGATAGTGAAAAAGAATTGAAAAAATTTAAACTCAACTAAAAAATGAAAAATAAATAATAGTTTAATACTAACAAAATACACTTTTATACACTTTTTTTACAATAAAATCATTTTTTCTTACACTATTTTTTAATTCAAATTTATTAAGTATGTTTTAGTTGGATTTTAAAAGCGTATTTTGTTAGTTTATTTCAAACTATTATTTATTTTTAATTATTTAGACACTACAAAAATAATCAGTGAATGTCGTCCAGCCGTATTCACGAAAACCGTGAAGTTTGTATGAAGATTTTTACTGGTGGTAGGACCTCTTGTGAGTCCGCACGGGTAGGTATCACCAACCCGCCTATTTCTGCCGTGAAGCAGTAATGCGTTTCGGTTTGAAGGGTGGGGCAGCTGTTGTAACTATAGTGAGACCTTAGAACTTATATCTCAAGGTAGGTGGCGCATTTATGGTTGTAGGTGTCTATGGGCCCCAGTAACCACTTAACACCAGGTGGGCTGTGAACTCGTCCACCCATCTAACAATAGAAAAAAAAAGACTGTGCCATGTGAGGCCAACGCTCGGTTGTCGTGTTGGAGCAGCAGGGACCAGCGTTTAACCAAGAACTACCGGATAACTATACTTGAGACCTTAGAGCTTGTATCTCAAGGTGCGTGGCGCATTTACGTTGTGGATGTCTATGGGCTCCAGTAACCACTTAACACCAGATGGGCTGTGAGTTCGTCCACCCAACTAAGCAATAAAAAAAAAGTCAAAATCTCAGTTTGGTATTTTTTTATCGCTTGAATGGGTCGACGAACGCCCTACCTAGTGTTGAGTGGTAATCAAAGCGCATAGATATCAATAACGTTAATGCCGCCACGCACCTTGAAACATCAGTTCTAAGTCTCAGTCCTACAGTTGTCCCGCCCTTCAAACCGAAACGCATTACTGCTTCACGGCAGCCATAAGTAGGGTGGTGGTACCTACCCTTATGGGCTCAGAAGACGCCGTAGCGTCAGGAAAACCATAAATTCCTCATTTGCCAGCGTAAGTTAAAAAAAACAAACCATACCTATAGAACTTTAAGTTCAACTCCTTTGCAATTCGTACATCATCCTTCCACTTATTGTAGGAGTCACAGGCGACATCACCATTGCTCCCAGAGTCCACGTAATATTTATGTTCATGTGTAAACCTATCCCATACGCTCTCGGCTTTATCTGAAGAAAAACAAAACCCAGAACCTTATCTGATACGGTAACAAAAGCAAAATTGAAAGCGGAAACATGTGACGGTAATTTTGAGTGTGATTTTTTTTTAATTGCTTTGATGGGTGGACGAGCTCACAGCCCACCTGGTGTTATGAGTGGTTACTGGAGCCCATAGACATCTACCACGTAAATGCGCCACTCACCTTGTACGTATTTCATTAGAAAAATTGGTACCCGCCTGTGAGATTCGAACACCGGTGCATCGGTCAACACGAATGCACCGGACGTCTTATCATGTGACTCATGTCATGTGACTTATCTCAGTGACGTCATCGATACCAAGACAAATTGATGTCGTCGTGGCCTAAAGGATAAGACGTCCGGTGCATTCGTGTTGAGCGATGCACCGGTGTTCGAATCCCA